ATTAGGTGGCGACTCTTCAAATTCCGAAACCCAATTCTCGAAAGGGAATAGAGTTGTCCTTCCCAATGTCGTATACCCGATTTCTGACCCCACGATTAGAGAAAAAGGGGGCGTCGACATGGAGTTTTGAGGCTGCAGGGTCGAGTTTGTGTGCCTAATGTGGATGGTCTTCGGGAGTTGATTTTAGAAGAGGCCCATAGCTCCCGGTACTCTATTCATATGTGGCCGCTAAAATATATCAGGATTTGCGGCAGCATTATTGGTGGAGGAGGATGAAAAAGGATATTGTTACATATGTGGCTCGGTGTTTGAATTGTCAACAGGTAAAGTACGAGCATCAGAGACCTGGTAGTTTATTCTAGAAGATTGAGATTCCTGAGTGAAAGTGGGAGCGTATCACTATGGACTTCGTTGTTGGACTCTCAAGGACTTAGAGGAAGTTTGATGCAGTGTGGTTATTGTTGATAGGCTGACCAAGTCAGCACATTTCATTCCTATGGCAGTCTCATATTCTTCCGAGAGGTTAGTTGAGATCTATATCCGGGAGATTGTTCATCTTCATGGTGTACCCGTGTCTATCATTTCGGACTAAGGTACGCAGTTTACCTCACATTTCTGGAGAGTAGTTCAGCGTGAGTTGGGCACACGGGTTGAGTTGAGCACAGTGTTTCATCCTCAAACGGACGGGCAGTCTGAGCGTACTATTCAGATTTTGGAGGATATGCTCCGAGTTTGTGTCATTGACTTTGGAGGCTTGTGGGATCAATTCTTGCCTTTAGTGGAGTTTGCCTACAACAATAGCTACCAGTCGAGCATTCAGATGGCTCCTTATAAGGCTTTATATGGTAGGCGGTGTTGGTTGCCAGTTGGATGGTTTGAGCCGGGAGATGCTCGGTTGTTGGGTACAGATCTAGTACAGGATGCCTTGGACAAGGTCAGGATCATTCAGGATAGGCTTCGTATAGCTCAGTCCAGGAAAAAGAGTTATGTCGACCGTAAGGTTCGTAATGTGGCATTCATGGTCGGCGAGCAGGTGTTGCTTCGGGTGTCGCCTATGAAGGGCGTGATGAGATTTGGAAAGAAGGGCAAGCTTAGACCTAGGTTCATTGGTCTTTTTGAGATTCTTGATCAAGTGAGAGAGGTGGCTTACAGACCTACATTGCTGCCGAGCTTATCAGTCGTGCATCCAATGTTTCATATGTTCATGCTTCGGAAGTATCACAGCAATCTATCCCACGTGTTAGATTTCAGCACTATCCAGTTGGACAAGGACTTGTCCTATGAGGAGGAGCCGATAGCTATTCTAGACCGTCAGATTTGTCAGTTGAGATCGTAGAGTTTTCCTTCTGTTCGTGTTCAGTGGAGAGGTCAGCCTGTTGAGGCAGCGACCTGGGAGTCCAAGTCCGATGTGCGAAGCCAATATCCTCATCTTTTCTCCGACTCAAGTACTTCCTTTTTATGTCCGTTCAAGGACGAACGATTATTTTAGATGTGGAGAATGTGATGACCTTTTTCATCACTTGTTTTGGAAATAAATTCTGTGTTCTAAGGCCTTAAAACCTCATTTTTGTCTCATCTCAATTTGCGTGCGCGATCCAGGCGTGTATTCGGAAAGCCATTATGTGAAAATCTGTGAAAAATAATAAATTTTGCTTTTAAAATGAATTTAAGTTGACTTCGGTCAATATTTTTGGGTAAACAGACCCGGAACCATAATTCGACGGTCTTGGAGGGTCCGTAGGAAAATATGGGACTTAGGTATATACCCGGAATTGAATTCCGAGGTCTCAAGCCCGAGAAATGAATTTTTGAAAGAAATTGCTTAGTTGAAATTATAAGAGTTTTTAAAAATTGGAATGTGTTTAAATTTGATAGTATCGGGCCCGTATTTTGGTTCCGGAGCCCGGCACAGGTATTATATGGCATTTAAGGCAAGCATGTAAAATTTGGTACGAAACAGATATGATATGACGTGAATCGAACCATCGGTTGTTAAAAATGGAACTTAAGAGTTCATGCGATTTTCTTTGATTTTGATGCTAAATTTATAGTTATTTATATTATTTTGATGATTTGATCACATGAGCAAGTCCGTAGGATGTTTTTGGACTTGCGTGCATGTTTGGTTTGGAGCCCCGAAGGCTCGGGTGAGTTTTGGATAGGCCACTGAGTGTTTTGAACTTAGGAAAAACTACTATGTGTTGCAGGTCTGCAGGGCTCGCAATTACGAGCTCGCAATTACGAACAAACATTCACATTTGCGAAGACTGGGCTGGGCAGGCCTTGGTCGCAAATGCGACCTTTCCTCGCAATTGCGATGTCGCAAATGCGACAGGTCCCTCGCAATTGCGAAGGTGACCGGAATTGCCCATAGTTGCAAATGCGATGTATCCATCGCATTTGCGAAGTCAGCAGGTTCCTTAACGGTTTGCAATTGCGAACCCTGGTTGCAATTGCGACATCTGCCACCTAAAAAATCATAACTTAGCCGAAAATTTCTCATTTTTCAAACTCTTTCAAACCTAAAACATCTTTGGGCGATTTTTCAAAGACAACTACTTTTCCAAATTGATTGTAAGTCATTTCTAACTCGTTTTTTTTCAATCTATAACATCTTTTTACATGGTTTCAACTCTAAATCAAGGGTTTTCATTGGGAAAATTGGGTGTTTTGGGTAGAATTTAGGATTTTTGAATTTTGGAGATTTGGACCTCGATTTGAGGTCCAATTTCAAAACAAATTATATATTTGGGTTCGTGGGTGAATGGATAATCGGGTTTTGGTTTGAACCTCGGGTTTTGACCATGTGGGCCCGGGGTCGATTTTTGGCTTTTTGAGAAAATCATCATAAAACCTATTTTCATGCATTAGAATTGATTCATTTAGCATTTATTGATATCGTTAAGTAAATTGTGGATAGATACAAGCGAATTGGTGGTGGAAACAAGAGGTAAAGCGGTAGTTGAGGCTTGAATTGTGTTCGTGGCTTTGGGGTAAGTGTTTGGTCTAACCTTAGCTTGAGGGATTAGGAGTTGTGTCTTAATTGTTATGTGTTAATTGTGGAGTACGACGTATAGGCATGGTGACGAGTATTTATACATCGGTGTCAAGCATGCCCGTGAGTCTCGTATTATAATTGTTGTGATTCCGTTGTGATTTATTCATGCTTAATATGATGATTATCATTGTTGGTTTCCTTGCCGGGATGTTATTGTTTACAATATTGTCTCCCTTACCGGGATGTTGTTATACTCTTGTTCCCTAACCGGGCTTCTTTTATGATTGATGTTGATTTGTAAATGGGATCGGGTGGCACGCTGTCATGGTGATATATGAAATGGGATCGGGTGGCACGCTGTCATGGTGATATATGAAATGGGATCGGGTGGCACGCCGCCACAGTGATATATGAAATGGGATCGGGTGGCACGTTGCCACGGTGATTTATGAAATAGGATCGGGTGGCACACCGCCACAGTAATATTTGAAATGGGATCGAGTTACACGTCTGCCATAAGAAAGAAATGAAAGTGAATACTGTGTTTGTTTTCCTTATTCTTAATGGCAATTAAATTTTGGTTTCTTTACATTCCTCTTTTGGTATTCTATTGTTATCTGATACTCCCCGCAACATGCTTTCCCCCTCTCATCTTTAACGGTAAATATCTGCTTTTATTTTTCCGCTGTATATGATTTAACTGCACAGATTTATTTGGTAGTTTGGTCCTAGCCTCGTCACTACTTCGCCGAGGTTAGGCTAGGCACTTACCAGCACATGGGATTGGTTGTGCTGATACTACACTCTGCACTGTGTGCAAGTCTCGGTGCTGCAGCTTTTGGACCGCAGTGAGGTTGTTGCCTTCAGTCCATTCAGGCGACCCGAGGTAGTCCTGCAGGCGTCCGCAGGCCTTGGCGTCTCCTTGTATCTTTCCCTTCTGTTTCTTTTATGTATTTCAGAAACAGTGTTGTATTTGTCTTTCGGACCCTTACTTATAGTACTCTTTGACAGTATATGAAATTGTGACACCATATCCGGGTAGTTTTTGGTTTATGGATTTTGTTATCGGTGTTAATATAAAGTGATTTATTTCATTCTTCCGCCTTATTTTTTCCGCTGATTATGAAATGTTAATTCACAACTATTAAAGGATTAAAAAAATGGAAAAAAAAGAAGTAAATAATTGGATTGATTGGCTTGCCTAGCTTTCACTAGTAGGCACTATCACGCCTCCCGAGGGTGAAAAATTCGGGTCATGACAAAGATATATATGACGGAGCTAGACCTTACACAAAAAGTGAGATTGATAATGTCAAAGCCAGATTACCTGCTATAACATTTAAAAATAATCTAATATTGTACAAATAATTTTACACTATGGGTATATATAAATTAAACTTTATTCGAAATATTTAAAGCAATCCATATCACTGTATCATCAAGTAACCAACTACATCATCTAAGCCAAAAATTCGTCGACAAGCTGACATTAAAAGGGAAGGGCCGACCATGGACTTTAAGGCCATCCTATTTAATTTCAACTCTTTGACTCCAATTTTTTCAAAAAGCATTTAGTGAAAAGTTGACCATTTGATTATGATGCATCATGCACACGAAATATTTTATTTTGTGAGTTTGACACTTTTTTTTGTCTCACAATTGCGTGAATCTCAAAATTTTGTGAACCCAAATATATAAGATACGGGTCCATAAATATACGAGAAAAAAAGAAGCATCAAAGTTGTGATAATGTCAACAATAGTGTCAGATACAGGGCCAGCTTGTCGACTTGGCTTTTAATTTTGGGTTTCTAGTCACATATCAAGGTTCTTACTTCTTACTGCAATGAGAGAACAACTATGATAAAAGGTTTACGGAACGACGCCGTCTTGTCGGGAAACCCTAACCCGTTGGCAGCATATATATATATATATATATATATATATATATATATCCACGTTAAAATCCTTTTCATCCTTTCAGTTGTTTCGGTGATCTAACATGGATTTATTCGATCGACGTTGGCATATCTCCAGGCGACAAATGTGGGAGGAAGTGAGTATTTAAATATTCATTTACTTAGCTATCTGCTTTCTATATATATGATCGTTGAACAGGTCTGATCCACTTGTATTTCAGAAACTTGGTCGTTATGGGCCACTGGTGAAGAAGAGTGTGTCTTCTCTGAAAAAAGAACATCTGATGGGTAAGAAAGTATTAGTGAAGGTTGATCTGGACGTTCCGTTGAATGACGACTTGAGCATCCGTGATGAGACCAGAATCCGAGACGCTCTTTCTACCATAAAAATTTTATGGGGTTAGATATTGGACCAGACACTGTCAGTCTGTTTAGCAGAGTGCTAGATGAAGCAAAAACTATGGACCAATGGAAGGGTTCGAGATTGCCGAATTTGCCCATGGAACAGAGGGGATTGCCAAAAAGTTGGCAAATGTAGAAGAAGCAATAACAATCATAGTGGGAAGCAGTACTGTTGCCGCTGTTAAAAAAATGGGGCTAGCGGAGAAGATGACCCACGTTTCAACTGGAGGGTTTGCCTCATTGGAGCTTTTGGAGGGGATACCGCCTTATGGGATGCTTGGACTTGATCAGGATGAGGATGATTACACTGCTTGGAGTAAGGTGCTCCCAGATAGGTCAGATACAGTGCAGTGAAGATGGGTGATGATATATAAAGCTTTTGCAGTGAAGATGGGTGATGATGTTGCTTCTCAAGTGAAGATGGAGCAGTAACAAGTGTACGCATTATGTGGTGGCAGTACATGATGGCACAGGCTACTTTACTTTTTCATAAAAATGTAGATATTTCCGGTGGTCGACTTGTGTAGCTTTGGTTACTAACCAGTTACTGCTAATGTTAGTCTTTATCTTATACGTAATAGTTTGAGAACATTTCTGCGGTGAGTTCTCTTATTTTATTTTTGGCGTATGTGTATTGATATTGTGGATCCACTGTAATTAAGATGTTACAACTTGTATCGTGCAACCTATTTAGACAAAAAAAAAAAGAGAACAATTATGACATCACCGAGGATGTGTAATGGAATACATATGATCCCTCTGCCTTTAATAAGTGTTAAGTTCGTGTCTTGAGAATAAAAAATATGTGATAGGTAATGCTTCCCATTTAATGTGCCTTAAGTAATATAAATCCGAATTAGTTGAAAGTCTTTATAACCGAGGGGTAGGGGTGCATATAGGCTGGGTTGGTTCAGATTTTTCAATTATCAAACCAAATCAATTATCTCGGATTTTTAAAAACCAATTCAAACCAACAAAGTCCGATTTTTCAATCTCAATTTTTCTCGATTTTTTCGGGTTTTCGAATTTTTCCAATGAAATCTTCAAAGCATAAAATTTATAATTTGTGCTCTAATATTTCTTAGGTCCTAGTAGGATAAAATCATATAAGATGTTACCCAATAAAATAATATAAAATAATGTGAGATGAGTCATGATTATTCTAAAATACTCAACAAAATAGCATAAAATAAATATTGCTAATTATTAAGCCATAATAAAATAAACATAACTTAAAAGTATTAAGCCATATTAAAATAGGTACGACTAATAAGTATTAAGTATTAATTATACGATAAATAATATTAAAAGTAAGTTATGCATTTTCACTATTTAAACCAATCAAAAACTAAAAAAGTAAATATCCAATACTATTGTCATTTCTAGTATTGAATTGAATTTTTTTTGTTAGCATTAATATTAATTTGATTTTGCTTTGGGCTTTATTTGAGTTACTAACTTTTATGGGCTATAAAACATATTTGATCATTCAAAAAATCTAAGTGGAAGGTTGAAATAATACATTAAAAGAAAGAACTATGAAAAAGTTTAAAAATATTTATAAACTATATTACAATAATTATTTTTATGTATAAAATATTTTTAAAACTTGTATATATGTAATGCCGGGTTGGTTTGGTTTCAGTTTGACTTTTTTTGGTTAAAATCAAATCAAACCAATTATGGCCGGATTTTTTTTTTCTAAACCAAACCAAATCATAATCGAATTTTTTTTTCTTGTTTTACTCGGATTATCAGTTTGGTACAATTTATCGGTTTTCTTTGTACACCCTTACCCAGGGGAAAAGAAAAGGAGAGTATGCCCAAGGATTTGAATTTACCTTTGTTGTGTCTGCCTTCGCCATTTATTTATTAGTATCAAGGAAGAAATCCACTCAGATGAGTCGAGGAATGAGCGTAACGTAGTGTCCTCCTCAATATTGGTAGTATTATATATTCTCCGGCGCTTAAATTAAAAATATTTGGTTTGTTATAAATAGAATTTTATTTATGGTGAATGATTATATTTAGAGATATTCTAGGGTTTATTACTTGGTGATTAAGTCACCCTTTTCCTATAAATAGAGGGTTATATTCCATTGTAATTTATCCCAAAATTCAATAAGAATTTCCCCTCTCTCTCTTTTTTTGCAATATTGTTCTTCTTCTTTTATTATTTTTATCACACGTTATCACCACGAGACTCTAACCAATTGAGTAGAAGCTTTGGAATTGAGCATAATAATTGTTCCATGAACTTCCTTCATAATTAAATTCTGAATTTAAAGTAAGTATTTTACTTTATTTTTCTCTTTTAAATTCTTGACATTCTATAATTTGATTATAAATACAAGCAAAGACGATAAATTTTGATTGTAACTCTAATGGAGTTTGAAAGAAATCATAATCACCCAAAGTGGTAAAATTTCTATGTCTTGTCATGATCAAATTCATGTATGATTGTGAGCAAAGAAGTGGAAACTCGTCCCATTGAATTTGCTTCATTCTCATTCCGTTAAGAGAATGTAGTAGCAATATGTAATAAGTCTGAAAGAAGACAAAATTATTACCGTGAAGGTATCAATAAATGTGGACGTGGTAATAGACGAAATTATAATCGTCACCATTGTGGATTCTCAAAATAGTCTTTCACTCTGTGAAAGTAATATTTGTCATCGATTTGACATGAGATTTTGTAACGCACATATAAATGATTATGGTCCATTCATGATTTGAATGTGACAACATGTGTTTTATGAATACATATTCATTCTTCAAAGAATATGAACGTGCTAGTGGTAGCGAATATACCACACTCACCTCTAGAAGGAGGTTTGAGATGATATAAGAAAATAATGTCATTATTATTGCATGAATGGTCATTGGTCACGTACCTATTGTACGCCAAAATATTTTGGCAATGTGATTATTAAAGGACAATAATAATGCAAGAAACATATCTTGCATATAATTTTTGACCATGACCATAATGGTATAACTTTCTCCTTGAAAGAGATATATGACAATATGGATATTGATGAATATGTGGTAATACAAAATTAATTGAGTGCTCTAGAAGAGCCAATTACCACTATTTTGGAGAAATAGAATTGATTATCAATAAGATATTGTGTTGTAGTAAGTCTGAAAGAAACTTATTTAGTTTCAAAAGTATTCACGAAAGCGGTTGGTTATATTTATACTATAAATAAAGGAAAGATTTAGTATCTTCTATTACTACAACTTGTAGCAGGGTAATATGTATGTGAAAAGCTACCCGCTTTATTCTCCAGTTTGTACTACACAAATAAAAGAATACCACAATAAAGTGGATGTTTATTGATATAAAAACTCATATCATATTGCACACGTCATGGCGTAAATCTGAATTTTATCAATATTGATAATTTATTCAGTTGACATAATTGATTTAGCCATGTTAATTTAAGTATGATGTGCAAAAAATAAAAGAAAATTCACATGGGTAAATATTAAAGAACTAGAAAGTTCTTGTCACGACCCAAAATCCACTAAGGGTCGTGATGGCGCCGGACACACTGTCAGGCAAGCCAACACCAAGAAGTTAATTAAATTCCAATTTTAGTATTTGTTGAAATTATTTTCTTTATACATTAAACAATAAATAATGAAATTCACATAAATAACCATGAAGTCTTTAAAAAACTTAATATTCAATAATCCCAAAATCATCCCAGAACCCAGTGTCACAAGTGCATAAACTATCTCTAGGAAACAATATAATACAACAACCGTCCAGAATACAAATTGGACAGAAAGTAAATACAGTAATCTGAAAGAGACTCTGCTGGTTGCGGGCCGTCTCGAGAAGTGCAGCTCACCTAAGTCTCTGTATCAACCATGCTGCTACGTCCACTAGGCCACTAGAGATACATGTGCCAATACAACAAAAATGCATAGCAAGTGTAGCATGAGTGCGAAAACAACGTGTACTCAGTAAGTATCCCGTCTAATCTCGAAGAATTAGAGACGAGAGGTCGACTTTTACACTTACTAGGGGTCCAATATTAATAATACCAATAAAATAGAAAATCGGGGATTTTCATTAAAATGATTTTAAACTCAATAGCATGAGGCAAGTAACCAATTCTTTCGTTTAGAGAAAATTTTCAAATTCATTTTCATCATTTATACATTTATCTCAGGCCAGGGAGAATAAATATCAACATCTATGAATCTCAAGGCAAGCAATACAAGCATGCGCAAATCATGCCGAGGTCGCACGGTCCGATCCAACAATATTTAAAATGTGCACTGCCAGAGGGTCGAATGACGCTAACCATAGATGCATCTATTTAATCTACCTAGGCGTTCGGCCCGTTCCACAATATATAAACACATTCAAACAGTCAATCAAGAACTCATCAAGGAGCAAATTATCCAAGAAAAGACAATTTCTCTTTTAAAAATCAAGAAACGACGAATAGTCTTTTAGAAATCATTTACATGTTCGATATGTTTTAAGCATTTTTAAATTGACAGCAAGATTTCAAATATTGCAAGTAAAGCATGCTTTTGGGTCCTAAACTACCCGGACTTAAGCATAATAGTAGCTACGCACAGACTCTCGTCACCTCGTGCGTACGTAGCCCCCACAAATAGAAGCACATATCCAATTAATTCACCTATGGGGACAATTCCATCTTACAAGGTTAGAAAGGAGACTCGCCTCACTCCGATTCGGTGCGGAACAATCCAAAACTAATGAAATAATGTATAAACTAATCAACACATGTTCAAAAATTCATAGTCCAACTATTAAGGTGATTACCCAACCCTAAATGTAAGATTCGTAAAATTCATCACCGGGCCCACGTGCCCGGATTCTTGAAATTTTCGAAGAAAGTTGTTACCTATAACCTTATGAAGTCAAATATATGATTTTTACCAAATTACATAACCATTTTCGTGGTCAAATCTCATTTTTTTTTACAAAACCTAGGTTTTCATCTAAACCCTTGATGTCACACCCCCCTTTTACCACCCGAGAGGATATATAAGGGAGTTTTCCAACTAAAGTGACATTAATCGATATGAGATTATTTTATTTATTTCAGAGTCGCCACTTGGAATATTTTATTTAGTGTCCCAAATCATCGGTTTATTTTAAATCCCAAATCGAGGAAATTTCGACTTTATTCAAAATTCTGCGAACCAGAAATTCTAAGTAAGGAATTTTGTTAACCCGGGAGAAGGTGTTAGGCATTTTCGGGTTCCGTGGTTCGATCACGGTCTCTTAAACTATTAAAATTGGCCTAATTATCTGATTTACTACATGTTTTAAACCTGTTGTGCGTTTTTAAATTTATAATCGCTTTTATTATTTTTTAAACCGCTTTTAGGATTTATGGACTTATTTCTTGAACAAGTTACGATTGTCATACACTTGCCGTTTGGGTGCACATTGCAAATCGCATCATATGAAATGCACTCGCAATTTGCAATACGTTTATTTTTTATTAATGTTCGAAGTTGTGGTCGGGTCACATGAAATGCATACCCGAATTGGAGATTATGTATCACGACCCTGTCGTGGGAACCGTACCCATAGCCGTGATGATTTAATTACGCGCCTAAAGCAAACTACGATGTTCATGAATTATTTTCCTAACTACTTTGAACTTTATTGTAAGGCCGTGGAGTTATGGAATTATT